GGGAAACATGGGGGTGGGGTTAGATGGAGTTGCGGGGTTCTAAGGAAACCATCTCAGGGCTTAATCTGGGTACATCAGGTCCCAGCATCAAGCGAGCTATCTCCTGAGTTGACAGAACGGTAACAAACGTCGCTGCGGATAAAGAAAACAGGAGGGGGTGGGGGTGGGGGGAAGAAAGAGAGGAGAGGGAGCGAGAGGGGAGGGGAAAAACACCTTAAACATTTTTGCCGGAGGAATGGATTAGGAGAACCAGGTCTGGAAAGATCCATCAAAGTCTCCGCGCGCAGGCACGCACCCAGTCCAGCGAGGGCCCACGCACCCAGTGAGTCTGAACTTCTCTTAGCCTTTCCGAGGGAAAAAAACAGATGCAGTGCCCCCATACCAACCCCCAAAATGTAAACACCTTTACCATACATTCATTGAATGTTAAAATTTAAAAAGGACTTTAGGTTCTTTCAGCCATTCCTCGGCTAAGTAACGTGAGTCTCAACCATCTCCCGTTTTCCACAACTGCCACGCAGCTGTTAAGGCTTTATTATGACGGCAGTAGCAATGCTTTTTTTTTTTTTTTTTTTTTAAACTTAATTAAGTAGAGTTGACCGTCGATCTTTATTTCTTGCAGGCCTTCTCCAATCTTCACACAAACTCTAAAATCAACATTTACATAAAATGTATAGAATACTCAGCATAGAAGTGAATGAAGTTATGCATCTCCAATACAATAAATTCTGGTTTCTATCTTTTCAATAGAAAGTAAATAATGAGGCGGCCTTCCTTGATGGGGGGGGGGGCAAAGGTGAAAAGTAAATTAATATTAGAGTATAATTCCCCTAGTTTCCTCTGCTAAAACCTGAAAAGGTAAATCAGTATGTGTTTATAATTGTATTTCTAATTAGCCCATTTTTAAAAATTTCATCTTTAATCATCATTTGGTCAAATTCATTTAAAATGCAGTTATCAGATTGGGGAAGGCTGGGGTAGGAGAGATAGATTGTGAATTGCTCCTGAAAATCTGCTATCAGAAATTTCTCTCATTTTCTTGGAGACCTCTCCTCCCTCTGTCAGCCACGTGTCTTGCTTCCCATGTGTTTAGATTAACTGCAGTTTGCGGGGGGGGGTGGTGGTGGTGGTGGTTATAAGTCAATCAATAGGGAGTCTATATTCATAAAGGCCTCTGATCTGATTACAGCCCCTTCTTTTTTTTTCTCTCTCTAAAAACCAATAATTGGCGAGCTAGGGACTCCCGGCGTGGGCCGAGCGGATTTTCGGCGGCCAGAGGCTGGAGAGCCAGTCCTGGCGACGGCGGCGGGGGCGCCGTGGATTAGGATGTGGATTGCAGGACAGACCTTTGTTTGGACACATTCGTGACCGGGGTGGGAGAGGGAGGGCCGTCCGCCTTCGAGATCACGCCGATTTTTATAGACTCGCTTTAAAAGAGCTCGTCCCTCTGCACAGGGTTAATTTATGGGACTTTTGAGGAATATCGGGGCTCTTAAAGACGCTATTTATTTTCTCCCCATTAATTTTTTTGTTACTCTCGTAAAGGGACTCTTGCGGGTTTCGGCACCTCGCAGGAAGGGGGTGGGGACGGGAGAAAGAACAAGGCAGGAGGCAAAGGAGAGGAACCGCCTCCTGATCAAACTGCCCGCACGGCCCAGGCTTCCCAATATATAGGTATAGTTTTAATTACATTTCTAACCAGGTTGCAGACATTAAAATTCGGATTTGGAAACTGAGACAAACGTAGGCTGTTTACGCTTTTGCCAGGTTTCCACCGATCTGAATTCGGTATCTGGGAAATGAAGAGCTTGGGACCTTAGAAATTAAAAAAAAATAATAATAATAAAATGAGGACAGGAGAGAGACAGCGAGAAGAGGTGCGACTGGGAGACAGGTGCGGTGGAGGAGAAAACCCCCAGACAGCGGGTGATCAGCGCCAGGGTTCCTGCCCCCAGGGCGCAGGAGGGCGGGGGCGGTGGGCTGGGGCCCGAGAGGCCTCGCCTCTGGGGGCCCCGACCTCGCGCTCACCATCTTTGAACCCCAGCGGAGGAGGTTGGCGTTCATGCTATAGATGACCTTAAAGGTTCCTTTAAACACTTTAATACACAACTAGCTCAGAAATCATTAAGAGACCTAGAGAAGGAGACAAAATACCCTCACACTCACCGGTAGTAAGTGTTGACATGCAGCAAAAATCGATTGAGTGGAACCGAGGTGGTGGCAGCGATGGCTGGAGGGGGACCGGCGTGGGAACGGGAGGGACGAGGGGACCGACTTCACCGGCTCGGGAACTAAGCTTCTCTGCTCGAGGGGAAAAAGAGGTGCGGAAGGGGGCCCGCGGGCTGGCGGGGCTGGGCGTGCAGAAGGAGGGGGCGAGGCGAGGGTGGAATTCTTCCCTCTGGAAGTCCAGGGAGAGAAGCTGAGGTGGGAGAAAGGGACTCTCAGCTGTCCCTAGTCTCCGCCCTCAGCCCGCACCACTCGGGTCGGGGAAGCGACAATCTGCCCAAATCTCGACTTCCATTTGTGTTGCTTGCAGATTGATTGATTTCCCCGCGGAGGGTTTTATTTCAGCAACCCAACTGGGCCGAGATGCACCTCCTCTTCTCAACGCCCCCAAGTCTCCCTCGGACCTGCAGGAGACGCAGGTCTCGTTAGCGCCTCCAGCCCCCTCCCCACATGCCCTCTCCCAGGCCCCCCCCCCCAGGCCTGCCGCCCCTCCCCCCCATACCCGGCGGAGGCTCGAGGAGGCCGGGACCGGTGGGCCCCGCGGCCCCAGAAGCCAAAGTCCGCCCGTGGGGACAGTTTTCCTCTCCACTGCTCTCAAGTGAACAACAAGGACGGAGGTGACCCTCGCCCAAAGGGCTTTTATCTGCCCCCCACCGCCGCGTGATCCCGCTGCAGGTCGGAGGCAGAGCTTAAAAAAGAAAGAAAGAAAGTTAATGTGCGGCGAGCCCTGCTCTTACATCGGGGGCGTTAGAAGCGCTCCCTTTAAGTGGCAGCAGAAGTTCCCTGCAGAACAAAGACTTAGTGTCTGAATTCCAAAAGCTTATAGGTAAAGTTTCAGTCAGATAAAAGCACCCTAAGCGCAAAAACACAGGTTTTCTCGGCTCCAGAAAACCGGCGGCTAATTTTCGCTCTCCATTCCCCGGGGTGGTGTTTGTCCTCGCCCACCGGGGGAGGAGGGGGAAGGGGGAGGGAGGGACAAGATTAACAAAAGGCCTCAGCGCCTTTTTTCTTCTCTGACCCTCCAACGCCACGGTGATGAGTACTTTGGGACTAAATCGTATTTGCTACTATTTGTTACGAAATCAAATATCGTGTGTGTGTGTGTGTGTGTGTGTGTGTGTGTGTGTGTGTGTAAAAAGACTGAAAACCACCAACAGAGGAGCGGGTGCTTAAAGTTCTTTTAAACACTCAGACCTCATTCCCAGTTTAGATGTCAAAGGATGGGAGGGAGGGCCAGGGCTGTAATTCATCTTGATTTGCTTCATTGTCCGCAGTTTGCAAACTATAATCCTGTATAATTTCAGGAACAAGCAGGTTTAGAATTAATGGGTCAATATTATTTGAAACAAAACATGGGGAGCATGACCTTTGCCTCAACTACATATTACTCGACGAGGTTCAGGAAACTCCACTCTAACCTCTCAACCTCTGGGCTCTTTGAGAAACTGAAGGGTTGTGGTTATTAGAAATGGTCTTTGTTTCTTTTAATGTCTCAAAAGGATTTGGAAATAGCAATGCAATATAACATGAAGGATCTCTCTACTTAAGCCTGAAAGATAAACGTGAGGCCTAAATATTTTGAACTGGAGGTGTTTCCTTGTAAACTTATTAGAGATGTATTCCTCTTGAGAGGAGTGTGCATAAACTGTACATGTATACATACAAACAGACTTCTCCAGAACAATTTACTGGAGGTGCCCGTTTTTCCCCCTCAAGAAGTAAACTTGAGAGTCGTTCCAAGCTGGCTTACTTTCTTTCTCCTTTTCTTTCTTATATGATTTGCTTGCAATAATGGAATCCTCTGGGTTTAAGCCAAACAAAAATATGAGAGACAAGACCAGACACTTCACAGCCTTTTTTCTGGGAGTGCCTTTTTTAAAGTTTCTGATGAATGACTATAATTTATTTGCACCAAATTTAAGTACTGCTGCCTTGTGTGTTTAACTGGGCAGGCAGAGGGGACTGGTTTGTTTCGGAGGCAGTGGCTGAGGAGCCCTGGGCAGGCGACAGAGGGCAGAAAGAATGCAGACCAATTTGTATGCAGTATATTTTACTCCCATGAAATAAAACACATTTTTTTTCATATTTGCTGAAAAGTAAAACAAGAATATTGTACGAAATGTTATACACAGGGTAGGTTGTACATAGTAGTTTCAGAAACATCATTGCATCCACCAGAGAAACTATTCTAAAACTGATATTCACACATTTTTTTATAATAATAATATGTTAGAAACATACAGTGTGGCATTTAGTATTATATACATTCCCTTGCTCGCAAGCGAAAAATCCTAATCGCTTCTGTATAACATGCTTTATTTTAAAGCCTAACCTTTAAAAACACTGTTGTGATATTACTAACAACTGCTTTTATAAAATTAATTTGACATTTCGATATATATACATCCTTTCAGTCATTTTAATGTTATAACAATGCTAAACTTAAAAAATAACAAGCTTATAGTAATGTTAAAATGTCATATCCAGTCAAACATTTGTGTGTATGTGTGTGTGTGTATATACACATAGACATACACACACACACACACACACATACATACATGTGTGTCCTTGCAGCTGTGAAAGATGTCAGACACTGAGGAAATTCCTTGGGAATCAAAGGAGCTCGCTCTTTAATTCAGGGGTTTCCTTTTCTCTATCACTTTCTCTCCATCTGCTTAGTGCCCACGGCTTTCTAGCATAATTCCCAGTCTTTCAAGGTCGGAGTTGCCCCATCCAGCACTGTCCTAGGATCCTGGCGCCGTGGGCGCAGCTCACACAGGCCGGTCCACGGCGTACTGACAAGCGCTCAGGTTGGACGCCGGGTTCTGCACGCTGGCGTAACCGAAGCTGGAGTGCTGCTTTGCTTTCAGTCTCAGGCTGGCCAGGCTCGAGTTACAAGTGTCCCTATAAACGTACGGGGGAGTCGGCGGCGCGTAAGGACAGGCCGGCGTCGGCACCGCGGAGTTCAGCGACGGGCTGCTCAGGTTGTTCAAGTTATTCAGGCTGTTGAGGCTGGAGCCCGGAACGCCTGTCACCGCTGAGGGCACCATGCTGGACGACATGCTCATGGACGAGATGGAATTGGGCGGGGAGAACATGCTCTGTGACGACAGGGGGTTGACGTTCATCGAGTTGAAGAAGGGGAAGCTCTTGGTGGACAGGGAGGCCGATGTAAGGCCCTTGGCGGCCCAGTTGTTGTACGAATAGCCCGGGTACATGTCGTCGTAGGGCTGCATGAGCCCGTTAAACTGCGGCCCGAAACCGTTCTTGCACAGCTCGGCCTGCTGATTTCTCTCTCGCTTTCTCCACTTGGCCCTGCGATTCTTGAACCAAACCTGGGGGGGGGGTGCAAACAGACGCCACTGCAAACGTTAGTCAAATCACGATGCCACAAAGCACCCGAAGTCACCTCCCTCCGACACACACACACAACTTCGCCGCCCTGCGACCCCCTCCCCTCCCCCTCCCCACTCGACCAAGCTGCTGGTGTCCCCACGCGCCTCTAGCCTGCCATCTGAGGCTTCGAGCTGCGCCACAAACCCCAGCCCAAGTCCTGGCGGCCTGCGGGCGGCTTGATCACTAACCCAGGCCCTCCTCCGGGTACAAAAACACTTACTGTAAAATAAACGGGGCAGCCAGCTTCCTCCCCAAGCCCTGCCCGGCCACCTTACAAACCTGCTTCCATTCCAAAGCCACAAGTCCAGTGAGGAGGACAAGAGGCTGGGAGGGCACCAGAGGCCCGGTCTCTCTCCTACACACCTCCCTCCCCTTCTGGACCTCGACTGTCCCCCCCCCCCACCACCCTCCGGAACTTGCGTCCTCCGCAGGCGCTGGGCCGAGACCCCCACCGCGTTCCCTGCCTAACAAAACAGCCAAGTAAAGAGCAAAAGATCAGCTCCCCAACAGCTCATTCAACTCCACGGGCTCGGCGTGTAAATCTCCGGGCACCAGAACCGGTAGCCCTGCAGCCTCCTGCTCCCCGCGCCCGGCTCCTTCTCATCCTCCGCCCACCCCGGGTCAGGCCCGCGCGCTCGGCCCAGCTCCGGCTCGACCCTGCACCACCGCTGGGTCGTGCAGGCGGCCGCCCAGGCCCGCCAGCCCCCACCCACGACCCGTGGCCCCGCCGCAACCCCGTCCCCAATCCACATCGGGCCTGCCCGTAGGCCCAGACGGCGACTTTTGTGTATTGGAGCGAGGCCTGGCCCGAGATCTCCGAGCTGACCCCGGGGATGTTTCACATTACACATCTCGGCCGAGTACAGACGCCTAATCCGCTCCCCCCTCCTTTCGCTTTCATTCTGGTTTTCTTTTTATCCCCCTTCCTCTTTGCACCCGACTGCTATAAAAAGCACGCCTCACTCCCACTTGGCTGGGCAGGCAGCCGGCCTGAAAGAGGCAGCCAGAGAGAGAGAGAGAGAAGCGAGCGCGGCAGCGGCAAGGGGCCAGCAGGGCTATGCAGACAAGTCGGGGGGAGGGGGAGTGCTTTTCCGAAGGATTCCAGAGAACACGCAGACTGGGTTTTTATTTTAATTACTCTCCATTTCTCCCCTAGGCCGTCTAACCTTTGCCCGGGAGAAAAGAGTACGTGCGAGGCCCGTTCCCTGCACGAGCCGGCGGGCTAATGAAAGACTGACCTTGCGCAAAACCACGCGGCCCCAGCCCCGAGCCCTGGCTCCGTTAAACTAAAACCATTTCCACCCTCATGCCGGCTTTTACCCACCAGCAGACATTCACACCCTACACAAATGCCACCCACAGAGCGCCTTGGTGCCCTCTGCTCTGGGAGTGTATTTTGGTCTTTATTCTTTTCATTATTATTATTGTTATATTTTGTTTGCTTTTCTCTGCTTGCTCTGGCCTAACTGGGGTTTTATTTTTATCTCCAGAGCATTTATATTCTCTCTCTATATATATATATGTACACGCAAAGTCTCTGGATCCTGATTGTCTGTTTTCCGCGTCCAGAATCCTAACAAATTTGGAATTTTCTACCGACCAGCATAAAACCAGGATGTTGCTATTGGGTGATTTCTTTAAACCCGTTTTTGCCAAACCATAAAGTACAGATTTGCTACAAAGTTAAGGTAAGCCCTTTTTATAAAACTATGATTGTAATAAGGAGGAAGAGTGTGAGCAACAAATTTCAGAGTGTTTCGCTCCTGAGAAAAGATAAACCAAACGGAAGGCTTTTCTTTCTTAAAAACAGAAACAAAAAACGAGCAGAATAGTCCTTGTGTACTTAAACTTTCCTTCCGGAGATCACAGAACCAGGGGTTAGGGTGTGGGAGAGACGTGAATGGCCGAAAAACCTAAGAGATCGTGTAAAGAGGGCGAGTCCAGAGGAGAAAAAGCCGTGGAGTGCCTTCCCGGAAGCTTTCCCAGGGAGGACCAACCCTTGTGTGTCTCTGGCGGGTTTTCCTTGTTAAAGGCGCACAGGTTGGAGCCTGTTCTCCGCTCCTGGCCTGGGAAGAATTTTCTTAGCTCTCGCCTGGCGACTGCAAACCCGGAACACAAAAGCCCTGTGCACCGGAATGCCCACGCGGCCCAGCCTAGGAGGGCGTGGGGTGGCGGGGCAGTGCGCCCGGGCCGCTCGGGGCTCCTGCCTCGGGCCGGCTGCCGGGCCTCGGAAAGGGAGCTGCACCCTTGCAACCTGGGCCGCCGCGTGGCCTTCTCTTTTTGCGAAGGGGCTCCCCGCCAGCGCCTCCCGGGCCTCGCTGCCTTCCTCACCCCCTCCTCATCACGGCGTGCACCTCTACAACACCCCCTCCCCCTGCCTTGCAGGCTTCGTGCGGGCTCCTACCCGGACTCGGGCTTCTGTGAGGTTGGTCCACACGGCGATTTCTTCGCGCGTGGACATGTCCGGGTAGCGGTTCCTCTGGAACGTGGCCTCCAGCTCCTGCAGCTGCTGGCTGGTGAAGTGAGTCCGCTGCCGCCGCTGCCGCTTCTTCTTGGACGGGTCCTCGGCGCCCACGTCTTCATTCTTCCCCTGCTGGCTCTTCTCTTTCTCTGAAAACGAAACACACAGAGGCTCCCGTCAGCAGGTCCAACTGCAACCCGCGAACTGCAGCTGCACGGGGTGGCTGGGGTCGGTGCAGAGTAGGACTGCCTTCCGGGTGCTCCGCTCCGCCGGTGGGGAGCGCAGCGCCTGTGGGGTGTGCGGACTTGAGGGTGAGCGCGCGCCCCATCTTCTCCCTTCCCCCAGCGCCGCACGTTTTATTTACATGTTTATCTCTGCACCGCGGCACAGTCATTTTTATAGCCCGTGGCTTGAAGTATAGTTTTACACCTCTGTGCAGACACATGAACTCTCCCTCGACATGCACACGCGCGCGATTTACGGATCCCCCTGGTAGAGCTCATATTGCGATGCGGTTTCGGAAGGCTAGGAAATGCAGACACTGGGATTCAGTTAGGCACCCAAGTCCCCTGGCCCTTTAGAAATACTGCCTCTTCGCGAAGAGCATTTCTGAGGCGGAGTTTTGCAAATACTTGTCAAATGAGCGGAGCTATTCGGGAGCTGAAAGCCCACAGAAGAACAGAAGGACAGAGGTGGGGTGGCCTCTGAGCGTCCTCGAACAGAAATACTGGGATTTTTGAGACCCAGCAAACAGACGGGAGGCCAGGGTCTGAAGAGATAGGGCGGCAGAATTGCCTGCGCCACCTGAGCCGGGTCACCCGGACCAGGCAGAGAGAAAAGGACGCGGGGTCATCAGGAGCCCGGCTCCGGATGTTCTTCTGACAGTAAGCTGGACGCCCACTCCCACCACGCCCCCCAGTAGGGGCCGACATCCTCCCGGGCGAGAGGCGCCCGGCGGCGCGGGGCGGCTGTACTGGGACATCCGCGGGAGCGTGGCGCCTTACCTGCGGCCTCGGGGCTGGAGGTGTCGGAGATGGTGTGCACCTCCAGCCTGTGCTTGGAGGAGTCCAGGGAGCGGGGCTGCCCGGGAGCCAGGACTGAAGCCATAGCCTGCGTCTGGGGATGGTGACAGGAAGAGGAGGACGAGGAGGCTGCCGACAGCTTGGTCGCGGCTGCTCGGTGCTCCAAGCGTAGCGGGCCTTTCATGCAGTTCATGGACGAGGGAGCGCACCGCCTACGACTCCCGGGCTCCCGCCCTCCGAGCCCCAGTGGCCGCCGCCGCCCGCTTTCGGTGGCGCTCTAGGCGTGGAGTTGCCCCGCAGTGGCCGCCGCGGGCAGAGCCAAGGAACGCGCACCGCCCCGAAGCAACCCCCGCCAAGTCCTCCAGGCGAGCCTCCCCGGTCTCCTCCCGAAGGCGCAAGCAAAAATGTCCAGCGGCCGAAAGTCAGCGGTCAAACGGAGACATGGGGATGTGGGCAGGAGGACGCTGCGCGGAGCGTCTTTGGGGACCAAAGCTCCGAAGCGAATCAAGAGTGGGCAAAGACCCCCTTTCCCCTCCCGCCCTCCCCTAAGTACTCCTCCAATAAGGAAGGCTAACGCCGATCGCGCAGAGCAAGGCGAGCTCTGCCCGTCCCCCTCGCGGCAGCCCTGACAGCAAAGTGTCAAGGGTGACAGGGACAGGTAGGTGCTATTAGATCCCCCGCGGTGGCGGCGGCGGCTGGGGCCTCTAGGAGCAGCACCCTCGGCAGCGCGCACACGCACAGATCCTCGGCCAGCCGAGCTGGAGCGCGTCCGGCCGCAGCCCAGCTCCCGGCACCCGGGCGAGCGACGGACTAGCTCTGCGGCTCGGTGCTTCCCTCTTGGCCTAACATCTTAAAACCAGAGGCGGGCTTCCTGGTGCCGAGACGTCACTCCGCCGCGGCCCTCAACAGCACTCAGAGCCTCCGCCTCCTCCCAGACCCTTCGCCAGGCGGGAGTGACGTGGCTCCTCACCAATCAGGAGGCCCCGAGCCGCGGCCGAGGGACGGTCCTGCCTGCACCTATCAGCAGTGCGGGGCCGAGCTAATTCCTCGCTGGGTCCACCGGGTCTACACCGGCCGGCTCCCGGGAATTCCGCTCCCGCCCGGCGGAACGCGATCAGCTTTTAGTTCGGGCGGGGTGGTGGCGAGAAGAGACTGGGAGTAAGAGGCTCGGGAGAAGGGGCAGAAAGGTCGAGGGCTGAAGGAAATAAGGATCAACAAGGCAGCCCCTTCCCTTCCTTTTGTATCTGACTACATCCATTTCCAATCGAGAGTTTGCTGCTGTTGTTTTGGTTCTGCTATATAGAAAGGACACACGCTGCTTGAAACAAGGAAAGGAAAAACAACAACAAATCACCTCTCGGATCTTCAATTTTCTAAACAGCCTGGCAAGTGAATGCCGCGCTCATCTGAAGAAGCTTTACTTTGACTGCAAGGAAGGCAGAGCCCGGAAAATGCTGGCTAATAAATTAGAAATAGAGAAGCAAATGGACCCGTCAAAAGAAAATTACCTTGACTTTAAACGAACAACTGTTTGGTGACTAGCTCTGGATTTATACAAGAATAAAAAGTCGCCTCAGATCACGTTCTCTGTGATGCTTATTAGTCCCCAGGCAGAAAGCACACAATAGAACAGAAACCCTAACCCAGCGTTTTAAAACAGCTGAAAGCTTACCCATTCTACTTAACGTTGATTAAGACACATATCCTCCATCTTTCAAATTCCTTGTACACTGTATTAAGCTCGTCCCAACCCAAGAGAGGGCCACACTTTACATTTCGACTCCCTTGTTTACTTTATTATCAATCAGATTCAAATCCATAAAGCCTGTAGAATCAACAACCTTGAGCTAATTATATATGAAATATGCTTTAAAGAATTCCCATAAAATTAAGAATGTTGCCAAATAATCAATTTCAAGGATAATTTTTAACAGTCATTTCCTTTTCCTAGGGAGCTCAAGGCTGTCTTGAATCATTAAAGCCCAAGCGAGGCTGAGGCAGTAGGGTGCGGGCTTAGGGAAAAAGCCTAGAAAAGAGCTTAGCTGGAAAAAGCAAAGTCTTATTCATTTAAATAAAACAAAGGAAAAAAAAAAATCACCTTTGGGGACAGCCAACTCTTTACAGCACTATTTCCAAAGAAATTAAAGAAATAAAGAAATCCAAAGACATTATTCAAAATAAAAGTCCTTTCGCCCTGTAGTCTAGGTTAGCTGGAGAGCACAACCTAATCTCCCCTGAGTTTCTGCATTGGCGATTGTTTTATTGTGGAGTTAGTGTTATCATCCCTGAATGTGTATTTGTTTGACATTACAGTCAATGATTTGCAACGCCAGTGCTAGGTATCTCGAGAAAGCTCCCTCCTTGTCCTTGTTCACAAGATTGGGAAACTTGCTTAGTCAGGGGCAGAGTGGATGAAACACCCTGCAAATATGTTTGTAACCTATGTGTCTCCCTTTTGTCCTGCAACCCCCCCCCCAAAAAAAACCCTTATCTGTAACCCCTCCTCCATTTTAAACAGACTTCAATAGTCCAAGGGACCAAATGAGAATGTATTTGTTCTCCAGTCTTTCCCCACAAGGATCATCCCACTTTAAGAAGAATTGAGCTACAAGGAGGAACTTTCTTCACAGCAAGCTTTCAATCAGCATTTCTGGTTTTAATCTTTTATCCAGTTTGCCCACTCCATGAACACACACACCTGCTCAGAGCAGAACACATCCCCATGTGACAGGTCTGCGTTAGCTAAGGCTCATACATTCAGCTATATTAGGTCCTGCAATCTTATCACTAATTTATACATATTACACCAGCAGCCTGTTGGTTAAGAAGGTTAAATGAATTTACATTCTGCTCATTATCTGGTGCTTAAATGACGCATTTTATCCCTGAGATTTGGTGGAGAATCTCCTTCTCAGACCCCACAGCGTTTCACTGAAGACAATGCTCTTACATTTGTAGTGGTTTTTAATCTGATAAGACTCTAATTTGCTTAAGTCTTTTAAATAAGGATTTTAAATGTTTCTATCCATTTTCTTATTGAATTTCCTCTAATTCCCCCAAGATCGTAAAGTATATGTGTAAAGTAAATATTTCTTCCCATTGCACTGCCAGCCGATGACCTATAACTAAGTCACTATGAATACAGCTCTATTCTGCCCAATGTGTTTACTAATCATATTCCAGTTTCTTCTTTTAAACATCTGCATAGCTGTAGTCCCCGCAATACCATGCCGCTAAAGCTTCCTTTTACGAAGAGACTCCATCCCATTAAAGGATGAAGAGCGCGATACCGCGGTAAGCATGTCCTCTTCCTTGTTTAAAGATTCAAATCTCAGAGCTGTGATTTTTGGTGGCAGTTTGGGGTTTTTTTTTTTTTTCAAAACTCCTTACTCTAGAAAGCTGAGAAGCTCCGTAGAGTCATAGACATTCTCAGCTGTTCCCATCTCTCAGTAAACCCACAGAATTTTGATTTAAGCTCTGGTGGCTCTGCTCGACTGATAGAACTTTGCATCATGGCAAATACACATGTACTAAAGACCAGTCTCCAAAGTGAGTGAAAAACCCAAGGGCAAGTGACAGGTCCTCATAGCACCAAAGTGTGGGAGAGGTTGAAAGCACTGGTGATCTGCAGACAGCCTGAAAAGCCAATAAGAAGTCTTGAATTGTGTCAAACCGTCGCAGAGTTAAGGGAATAATAAAGACAATTATCTGGAGAACTCAAATTTATCTATATATCTCCCTGAACTCTGCAAACAACTGAGTTAAAGTGAGGCTTTTCTTTGCATTTTCCAGCCAGAGTTTCGACTCCTTATCACTTTAGACGCTCTAAACAACACCAATAACAACAACAACAACAACGAAACCTAAACCCACTGCTGTCGAGTCTATTCCGACCCATAGTGACCCTATACGAGACCGTATGAGACCTATGTATGTGAGTCACACGCTCAAGGGAGTCAGAATTGGGTGACACCCTTCTTGGGCCCAACAGGGTTCACACCGTAGGAGGCTGGAGGACATTATCATGACAGGAAAAGGGAGGTATGCAGTGGAGACCAAGGAACCCTTTTCAAGGAAAACTCCGTGATGTATGGTGGGCAACTTTGGAGATTTAATCTGCAAAAGACTGGTGGGTGCACAGTCTTGCATTGCAGAGATGAGGAAGAGGTTGGAAGTAAAGAAATATTATGTATTTTGTGGGTTCTGCTCTACTACGACCTCTGGCTGAGTTCTTCTTTGACTAATTAGAGAAGTTTACTGTGACTTCTGCCTCCAGCACCTCATATGCATGAGAAAGCTGGATAATGAGTAAGGAAGACCGAGTAAGAATTGATGCCTTTGAATTATGGTGCTGACCAAGTATACTGAATATACCATGGACTGCCAGAAGGAACTTATCTGTCTTGGAAGAAGTACAGGCATAATGCTCCTTAGAAGCGAGGATGGTGAGACTCTGTACACATATTTTGGACATATTACCAGGAGGCACCAGTCCCTGGAGAAGGGCATCATGCTCGGTAGAAGGTCAGCAAAAAAGAGGAAGACCCTCCAGGAAATGGACTGATAGAGTGGCTGCAACAATGGGATCAAACAAAGGAAGGATTGTGAGGGTGGTGCAGAACCGGCAGTATTTGTTCTGTTGTTCACAAGGTCGCTAAGAGCTGGAACCCGACTCCATGACACCTAACAACCTAACGATGACTGCCTCCATCACAGAAGTTTTTAGTCCAGAAAAATCATCGTGGTCCCTGTAAAGAGGCTGGAATTGCTGCACGTCCTCGCGGGGCGAAGAAGGGAATCCCAGAGTGGGTTTAGGGTTTCGAGTCTGGGGACAACAGTGGTCTTCCTAATTGGGTGTTCTTGCTTATTCTTTGAGGAGGGAAATGTGTGACAGGGGGTCAGATTATCTTCAGCTGCTATTTGCCACGGATTACCAGTCTTAAAGTCTTATATAATTTCACACTCGTTAGCGTTTTTTGCGCAAAGCCCCTCTGGCCATCGCTGGGGCGGTTGGGTTGCGCCACCAAGGCCTCGGCGGCGGCGGTGGCGGCCGCGACGGCGGCAGCCGGGGTAAAGCTGGGACCCAACCCAACAATTCTCGGCTTTTAGAAATAATTCGTCCTCAGAGCTCACCTGGAAGATGGCTCAATTAGAAGTCTTCCTGAGCTGTGAGGCCACAGAGGAGCAGGAGTTCTGCCCCGGTCCAGGCCAGTTCAAGGACAAGGCCCTCCTGGACTCAGCTCGGAGCCACGTGACGAGCGTGAGTGTGTGTGCGCGCGTGTACGGTGGAAGGTGCAGAGGTCAAATGGAGACCTTGCACCCTGAGCAAGAAATGGCCCTTCCTCCCCTTCTTCTGCTGGGCTTTTCTTTGCACACAAACCAAGCTGCAAAGGGCTCGCTTCCCCCAGAGCTATGAAGCCGAAGGACCCAGAAATGAAAGGCTTCGCTGTGGCTATTTTTTTCCCATTCCCTAAATGGAATAAAAAAGTGCTGGTTTATAA